AGGTGACCAAAGTTTCTCCCACCTAGGTTGGTTCTTGGGCCTTCCTAATCCTTTCCAACAACACAGGATGTTTCAGACTGTCCCTGACACACCGTCTTACATCAAGGTAAGAGCTGAGGTAATGAACTCTCCTCCACCCTCATGGTTATTTGTTTGTTTTTTGAGACAGTGCCTCACTGTGTAGTTCAGGCTGCTTTCAACTCTTGAGTAGCCCAGGCTGGCCTCCAACTTGCTGAGAGCCTCTCTCCCTCCTCAGCATCCCAAGTGCTGGGATTACAGGCTGCAGCCTCCACACTCAGGTTCACCTTCACTCGGGTCCTCTCACACCTTCACTCTGGTCCTCTCATCCTTTTTCCTCAGACAGAGTGCCAGGACGCAAGGAAGGAGGGGCTTTCTAGGGTAATCCTAGGTTCAGGAACAACTCTCTTGGCAACTTGAGTTTGGTTACCAAAAGCAGGTGAGCCTCAAAAAGCTATGGAGAAGAGATGCGTGCCTGTGTGGAGCCGCAGGGGTGGCGCCTGTTCCCTGCGCGCAGAGTGTTTGCTTGTTTCAAGGGAGTGCCTGTGTGCAGGTGCGTGTGTGTGTACGTGTGTGCGTTTGTGTGCATATGTACGCGCGGGGTGGGGGAGCGTGCGTTTCTTGGCTGCCTCCAAGCAGGCGGTGCAGCGCGTTAGACACCCGCTTGGCCCCCAAGCTTACCTTCTTCAGCTTTGCCGGCCCCTCGAAGGAGCAGATTGTTATATTTGATTGGACATAGAAGGGCTTCACCCCCAGCCCCCTTTCCACAACAGTTCCCAAGAATGTAAACAAACCGAGCCTAGGACATCTGGGTTACACATTTAATGAAAATACTGGGGCGGGGCGGGGCGGGGCGGCTAGTGCGCACCGGGCGGCTCTGCCCTGGGCGGAGACAAAGGCACTGTCCTAGTGCGCTGCAGGCATGACACCTGGCCTTCCGCTTAGTGAGCCAGAGTCTTGGGCTTTCCGAGCTGCCTTACATCTGGGAAAGGACAGACTTCCTCAGGTGCTGCAAACCTACCCAGACCCAGATCCAGACCCAGACCCAGGCCCTCTTGAGACCCCACCCCATTTTAAAGTCCCTCCTCGGGAGACCCTGCTCCCCAACATCCTCCGGCAAGTCGGGTGGGGCTCTCCGGTCTAACCCTAGTAGCGCCAGTTACGTGTCCGGCCCTCCTCGCTTCTGTCTAAGATGAAAGTTGACATAAGATAGTACCTTCTCGCTCTGCACTTGAGGCCCAAAGGAACTTCCTGCCAAGCCAGATGCTGGAGAATTGGTCCAGAAAGGTTGTTTAATCTTTTTTGGGAGTACAAATGGATGTACCTGAGGAATGAATGGAAGAATGAATGAAAAAACAGTGAACTCCTCTGTCAGTAATTAGCGAGCGGAAGAGCTGGGGGGGGGGGCTCCCAGTAGGTGCAGTTAAAGCGCGCGCTCTCCAGTTAGTCTGGAGCGTGCATTGGCTGGTGGAGTCTCCTTGTCTACATCTCCTTGTAAGGGAGATGCTGTGCTTCTCCCACCGGCCAGGCAGCTTACTCCAAGGAGCGTTCTACAAACGCGCGGAGCTTCAGTCTGTCTTCCCTCTCACGGAGAACCCGGGACCCCGAGCCGCACGTTGATGACCACTGTAGTAGGGGCAAGTGCAAGCCCAGGAGCCAGCGCAGGCTAAGGGGCAGGCAGAAAGCAAACTCAGCCCTGGCCCAGGCCTGCCAGCGCAGTCGACAGGCGCGGGGGTGGGGCAGTTTGGGATCTGTGGGCTGTCAGGGAAGCCGCTCGCCGCAGGAGTTCTTTTCAAGGGAAAAAATGGATTTTTCAGCAGCCACAAAGTTTGTATTGTTGCACAAAGGGGCGCATTGATGACGGCGAACGGTCTGCTTGGAGGGGACAATCTTGGGTTTGTTCCGCAGGCTCCCTCGCAGACCACTTGCCAGAGGGGTACAAACAGTCCGGGGCTGCCAAGGCCCCGCCGTTCCCAGTCAGGCACCCGACTCCTGGGTTGTTGACAAACACCAGGGGCGCAGGCGCCCGGCCCCAGCAGCCAGGAACCGAGCGGGGCCTGAGGGGACATGCCCGCTGCACCGGTTCGATCTTGGTAGAGAACTGGTTTTGAGTGGCCTGGCCAGGCATTCGAGGTGCGCTGGGGAAGCGCTTTCCGCAGGGATGAGGCTGGAAAGAGTAAGGAGGAAAGAGAGGTGGACGGTGATTGACTCTTCAGGACTCTGACAGAGCAACAGTAGCTGTCACAGTGGTGTTACATCTCACATGACCCTTTCCCTCACCAGCCCCGTGCTGCACATGGTATTTGTCTGCAGGCATCTACAGTAGGAGCTGCGAGCCTGTGGGGTGGTCTGTTCCGCAGATGAGGAACCCAGGCCCTGAGGTTACTGAGGTGCAGCTTGTGATGGCCAAGATGCAGGCAGTCCAGGCAAAGCCCCGCTGACTGCCTGGCGAGTTCGAGGTGGTGTGGTGTTACAATATCCCTTGGAGAGAGGCCCTGTTATATATAAGCCTGTGTACAGATGAAATGATGAAGGCACAAGGAAGTGATGGAACTTGGTCAAGGCCACATGGCTATGAGTCAAACCCAGAGAGCCTGAGCTTCTTCCACCATCCACCAAACAACATGGTCCACCTTGGTGTTCAGTTTAGGGATAGGGTGGAGGTACAACCAAGGGTCCCAGAGCACAAAACTTAACCTATACTTGCTCATTGCTAGGACTTCAAGGGACATGCTCCTGGATGGGGAGCTCAGCAGCCTAGGAGCACTCCTGCTGCCTCCCTACCCCCAGGGTCCCCCTCTTCCCCCTGCTCCCAGACTGCATGCTTCCAAATATTCACAGCAAGAAGACCAGGAGCCCTGTCTGGTGGGCAGGTCCCGAAGCTACGTTTCAAAAGCACTAGTTTGAATTTGGAGTGAATACAGTTTGGGATGACTGAGAGGAGGAGACTTGTGGAGATTGGAGAAACCCATGTACCCCCTTGTTCCTGGGCCCCTCCCTTCCCCGAATTGGCGCCGCCCCTGGGTGAAGGCTCTGACACCTGGCTGGTCTCACCCTCTGCTCAGCCTGTGCTCTCTGGTCACCCTGGTCTCCCCTGAGGTTTCTTCGTTGACGCCGCGTGGTCTGGGGGCTCAGCCTTGGGCAAGCGCCTGGAGCTGGGGCGCAGAGACCCTCCCCCCCTCAGGGCCTCCCACGTAGCGTTTTGAACCCGCTCTGCGCCAAGGCAAGAAGGAGCGTGGGGAGCTGGGAGGGCGAGCAGAGGCTCTAAATCTTCCTTCAATCTGTGAGTAGATGAGGTCTGAGAAACAAATTCAAAGCAGGCGCGCCTGCAGAGCTTTCCTGCAGAAATACTCTCCCGCATTCGAGCGCATCCAGGGCCGGCTCGAGCTGCCTTGTTTGGCTAAGGTCAGACGAGACTCGGGTTCTCCAATAAAAATAAATCTCAAATTAATTATGGCCTCGAGCGAGAGGCCAGACACTTGAAGCTGCCGTTGTGCAGTCTGGCATTTTAGAGCTGGCCCGCCCTCCTCCCCCGCCCCGCCCCGCCCCCTCTGCCAGCTCGGATACCCGCCGCTGCCGCCGTGGACCAGCTGGGTGGGGAAAGAGGGATCCGCCTGAGCCGCTCTGCCAGGCCTGGCATCTTGCGGAGCTTCAGCGGAGGAGGCCCTTGGGTCAGGAAGCACTCCAGGGACCCAACTCCAGTCGCCCAGTCCTCTCACCCCCAAGGCAGGCTGGGAGCAAAGGAGCCCGGGAAGCCGCCGTCTGGAAAGTCTTGACCCGGTCAAAAGAGTTGACATTGAACGAGCCAAGACACGTTTTTTGGCCCCGCTGTTCCCTTCCCCGGGGAAGCAAGACTTCCACATCTCTGAAAGTATTGTCAAGTGTGAACAGTGCGAGGCAAGTGGTGTCACCAATATTTTAACAAAAATGTTCCAAATATAAATATTTCCTGAATATTCACCCATATATACACTGTCTTCTAGTAGACTTAGACATGGGAGGTGGGCTGTTTCGTTGTTGGGCAATCATTTTTCTCCAACTGGTATATATATTAGCCTGGCTTCTTTGGTTGTGAGCTTCCCTGACTTCCAAGCCAGGAATGGGCTGGTGGGCTGATGTAAAGCAGCACCATTGGTATCCATACCAGAACCTGGCCACCAGCCCTGTACAGTCGGGGAAAGAGTGAGGATAGTGAGCCCGGAAGAAGGGTCCACATAGCATGTGGGCAGGAGCCACCCTGCCTTAGTTAGGCTGGTAGAAGAGCAGACAGGGTGGGGTAGAGGACAGAAGGAGGGCATGAGGATGGTGGTGGAGGGGGAGGGGACAGGGTAGGGAAGCCCCCTCAAGGAAAGCCTCCCCACACAAAAAGGCATTCCCCACACAGAATAGTTTTCATTTGTAGCGGGCCTCACCACAGGCTCTTTATCAATTTGTCTCAATGCAAACATTCAAAATATTCTCTTTGGCTGCTCGAGAAAACGATGCGAGCTGCCAGGATCAAACCATCTTTCCAGATGTCTGGTGGTAACCACATTAAACAGGGCAGACTTGTTTACTGTTGTGTTTGGTTAGAGTTTTCCCCCTTTGGGATTTAAAAAAGAAGCAGCGGCAACTGAGTGGAGCGTCAAACCCGGAGTTATATAAGGAGGGTAAACTTGCCCAACAGCAGCCAGCTCAGGATGGGAGGAATCTGGTATTCTCGCCCAGCTGGACTAAGAACTGGATGTGGATATGTGTGCAAGTGTGTGTGTGTGTGTGTGTGTGTGTGTGTGTGTGTGTGTAGGGAGATCTTCTTTTTGGGTAGAGAGACCCTAGTGAAGGGGTAGTAATGACCTAGTGCCAGTCAGTGAGTCACAAAGGCCAGGATGCCTCTGTCTCCATACAGTAATGCTGTGCCAGCTCCATTTCCAACATCCCCAAATCTCTGTAGCTTTGATTTTACAGGGAGAAACAGAAAGTCCTATTGAGTTTCATAGCTCCAACAGGAGGGCCAGGCTTTATTTGAACCTTCAGCACAGAACATTTCTAATGGGAGAGGCAGCTAGTGCTCCTAATGGAGTTGGGGTACTAGGGGTGTCGGGGTCACTGCTGTTCAGTGCAGTAAAGATGATCCTTCCTTTGTTAGGAGTTGGAAAGAGAACCTGTGAATTGTGTTTGCCCCTGAGCGCCTTCTAACAGACGGGAGTGTGGTCTGTGTGTGCTGGGGGGTGGGGGTGCTGTGTGGGGGGTGGCCATTAAACCAGCCCCTGTGATTGCCCAGCCTCAGGAAGGGGGCCTCTTGGTGATGAAGCTGGAGTCCTTTAGGTCTGAAAGAAGAGTGGTGTGGCTGGGGTTCTGAGGGTCTGGTGAGGTCCTGGTGGGAATCGGTCTCCCCACACCCTCCTGAATCAAGCCCTGTTGTCGTTTGAAGGTCGGTAGAGTCTGGGCTGAAAAGGAAACAATTTGGGGTTTGAAAGGATGTAATTCATTCTTCCTTTCCCTTTAACCTCTTTCCTCTCTGGAAAGCATGTGGAAATGCTGAAGGGAAGAGCGCCGGGCAAGCAGCCGGGTGTGGAGAGGAAAGGGTTAAGCCTGATTTCTTTTAATTGAACTCCAGAACTGGTGGCCTCAGGCAAAGGGGGGGACTGACCCCGCTAGCGGTAACCAGATGTGGCGGTCCCAGGGGAGCCCCGGAGCAGACCCCTGGATTGGGAAGCAGACAGGAGGGGGGGCGGCCCCCACCCCCAACCCCCACAGCACACCGGAGTCTCAGTTGCTGGCAGGCTGCACCGGCCACTCTTGGTCTGGTCACGTTCAGGCCCGTGTCTGTATTGGAACCCAAAATTGGAGCTGAATTGATGAGTCTAATTTCAAGAGGGGGAGGGGGAGGGAGGGGGGGGAGGCGAGCGAGCTCTCCAGCTCAATTGCTGCTGAAGAAATAAAGAATTTAATAAGTCACCTTTTTCGCTGCTGTGGACACCCTTTTGAAAGTTTTTTCTTTCCTATTCGTTCGGATCGCCTCTGGATTTTTTTTCCTCCTCTTTTCCCCCCGAGGACTCTTAAATAAAAGTGAGACAGTCCCAAGCGTGGTCTGGAGAGCGTGGACAAGGTAACACGATTTGGAGGTCGGGGAGAGGGGACTCAGGCCAGGCCGAAAGCATCGGGACTTAACCAGCGCAAGCGGCTGCCCAGTAAAGGACCGAGGTTTCAGGGTGAGCCTGCCCGCGAAGAGGCCGTGGAGGGGGGCGCGGCCCACGGCTGGGTGGGACAATATCCCGGAGCGAGAGCCCCAGGTCTCACCGCTGGAGAAGTGTGGCTCTGTGTCGCGTTGCAGATTGCGCTCCAGGGACCTGCTGACCAGAGGGAACAGAGCCGTTTGCTGTAGGGTCAGTTCTGGGGGCCCTGGGTGGGACCGGAGGGAGACTCTGCTCGGGAGCAGAGGTTGGGCCATCGGTTCAGGGTAGGAGAGAGGGTTTAACCCAGGGAGACCAGAAAGGTGGCCCAGGGTGCTGCTGGTCTCCGCCTTTCAATGCGGGGGGCCGAGTAGAGCCGAGCGACCCGGAGGGCGCCCTCTCTTAACAGTGCGCCTGGAGTCGAGTCGCCCCCCCTCGACGGTGCTGGTCAGCAGGCAGCAACCCCGAGTCCGCGTCGTGAGTGGGACAGCAGATCAGCGAGTCCGTCCGTCTCCGCCACAGAGGGCCTGAGTGGGAAAACTCCCACTGTATGCACTTTTTAATGGTTGGTTTGCCGCGATCTGAGATCTGCGACAGGATGGATCTTCCCGGTAGTAGGCGCCAGGTTATCCCAGCCCTAGTCAACTCTCCCGCCGTCCTCCCATCCCCAAAAAGTTAGACTCCGGCTGGAAAAAGCATTAATGAACGTATCTGTGGGAAGAAACGGAAAGTGAATGAGTCAGGAGGGCCACCTTCGGCCAGCGGCCCGGGGAAAAGGAAAAGGAGGCCAAAGGCTTTGGGGTTTTGGGGAAGGGGATGGGGAGCTGCAGACTGCGGGAATCAGGGCGCGGACGCTGGGCGTGGACCCCGTCATTGTTCCCGGCGAGTTCTTATCTCCCAGGAGCGAGTATCCAGGCGCGCAGTGCCTGAGAGCGTCCGGGCATCTCTGCGTATATTTATATAGTGTGTGATGCGAAAAGCAGGAGCAGCGAAGAGGAAGAGGGCGTGGGGGAGGGAGGACGAGGCAGAGGCGAGGAGAGAGAAGGGAGAGGAGACCGCGAGACGAGAGACAGGAGAGAGACAGACAGAGAGAGACAGACAGAGAGAGAGAGATAGGACTTCCTCCCCACTCGCAAAGTGAAGTCACTTCCCAAAATTAGCTGAAAAAAAAGTTTCATCCGGTTAACTGTCTCTTTTTCGCTCCGCTACAACAACAAACGTGCACAGGGGAGCGAGGGCAGGGCGCTCGCAGGGGCACTCGGGGAGGGCCCAGGGCGCCGGGGAGGCCGCGCCCGGCTGATCTGAAGGGGCTGCGAGGTCAGGCTGTAACCGGGTCAATGTGTGGAATATTGGGGGGCTCGCCTGCAGACTTGGCCAAATGGACGGGACCATTAAGGTAAGCCGCGGGGCACCGCGTGCGGGCGGGGGCGGGCGGGCGCGGGAGGCTTGTGCGCGGGGTCCCGGAAGACGTGGCCGCGCGCCCTTCCTTCCGCACCCCGCTCCGCGTCGTCTCCTCTGGGACTCCGGCAGCGGGTCCCTCTCTCGGGGAGGCAGGCCGGGCTCCCCGCCGAGGGCGATCTCCCCGGGGCGATCTCCCCGCACCCCGTGCGCGGCGGTGGAGGCCGGCTCCCCGTTACACGCGTCCGGCCGGGCTGAGAGAGGCGGCGGCATGGAAACCGGGATCCGGGTGCAGATCACGACCGAGGGAGAGAGACTTCCCTGCCGGCCATCCGCGCCCTGGCCCCGGCGCCGCGCACTCGCCTGGCCGCCGGCTTCCCTTCGCTAGAGGCCGAGAGCGGCCGGGCAAGGGCGGCTGTTGCCACCGCGGGGTCCCCCCCGCTGGGCCCTGGGGCGTCAGGGCTCGGCTGCAGGCTCGTGGGGTGTGGGAGAGGGTGTCTGCGGGTCTGTCCGCGCCGCACTGCCAGATGGAATCGCCTGTTTACATGTCAGCGAGGCCGGAGGCCGCTTTCCCTTCCCTCGGGCTGCGTCTGTGGCGGGTTCTCTGCTCTGCCGCCCCAGCTCCGCGGGGCTCCTGGGCGGGCCTCGCCGCGCCTAGGTCGCACGGCTGCCTGCGCACCGCGCCCAGCCCTTCCGCGCTCCGGCTCGGCCGGCTTGCGGGAGGGTCCCCGGAGCCGCCTTCTCGGGGGCCCCGCGCCCCGCAGAGCCACCCCTGGCGGTAGCTGGTTCGGAGCCCGCCTGTCGCCTCCCCGCCAATCCCGCCCCGTCAGCGCCGCCACGCAGGGGTTTAAGTTGCAAAGTGCAGCCCTGAGGGACGCTGAGGGTCTGGGTTCCCTATCAGGTTCTCAAGAGTTGGCTGCTGACTCCCTCTGAAAGGGGAAGTGGAGCCAGGAACAAAAAGGAGGGACACCCCCTAACAGGACTGGCCTGAGAGGACCCAGGGAATGAATGGGACCAGAAGTTAGCTTCAAGGCTGCCCTTTACCAGAAGGCAAGAATTTGCCTGGAAAAGCCATTAGGTGGTGAGGTGGGGACCGGCAGGGCCAGCCATTCCCCAGAAGCCAAGGAAGCATCTGCTTGCTCTGGGCTGAGTGAGCGAGGAGGCTGAGATGTTGGTTTAGAGAATTTGAGAGATTTTTATCATCTGGGTGGGGTCCTCGTGGTTTAATTTTCTAAGGGTTTTTTTTTTTTTTTTTTGAAAGTTTGAAATATGCTGACAGGTTCAATGCACCAAGGAAGAGACTTCTAATCTGGAGATAACTGATCGTAAGGGGTTAAAGGAGCCTTCAAGAGTTCTGTGGGTTCCTCAGACTTGGAGTGGGTGAGAGAAGGCTGCTGCTAGGGCCTGGGAGTGGGGTCACTGGGCCGTTCTATGCCTGTCGCTCAGCTTCCTGTGTTACCGTGTGCATGCCCTGCTGAGCCTCTGAACTCAGTAATGGGATGCCCTCCTCCTGAAAACGGCACCTACCCAGGATGCTTCCATTTACCCTCAAAGTTCTCTCTACCCCCAAGAGGTGGTAAAATGGCTTCAGGGTCTTTCTCCGGACACCCCAAGGAGAAGTGAAGCAATATCTGCACAGGGCTGAGACCTCGAAGCACAGGCCTAAGCAGAGGGAGGAAGCTGTGGTCTATGTACACAGGATGTGCTAACCTCTTTAGATACACACACAGGGATCCACATGGCAGGCAGGGAGAAGACCTGCAGAGCAGGACCTTGGGGCGCATCTGTCAGTGAGGGTCCCTCGGCAGGCGATGGGAGCCCCCAGCCCCTCCAGAACGTGCCATGCCTGTCGTCTAAGTTACCTGGCTCTGCAGACTCATCCACAGAGCAGTGGCTGTTCGAGCCATCTTCACTTCTCTAGGCTCTGCAAGATGAGTCCTTAGCGTATACTGCGGCACTTCAGTGGTACAAGAGCCACAGGCTCCTGCTCCTGTGTGACCTCAGGATCTCGGGGTTCCCAGACCCCACTCCCACAGCAGTTTAGTATTGTGCTTGGAAAAGACAGTGAACTGGGGGCAAGGCCAGGGAGCTTTTGGTCTTGCGGTGAGAACGCACCATCCATTAATCCTCCTCAAGCTTCATAATTCTTGGAAAAACAGAACAGTGATACACAGTTACTTCTAAAACAGTACCCAGTCCTTTCTGTGCCTACAGTGTTAAGCTCATGCACTAGAAGCCTCACCTATTGTGCACTAACTTGTACCCTATGTGCTCACAGGTCTGAAGACACTATAGCTCTGTTCTAATTTATACACACAAGTTGAGAATGTGCATGTTCTTGGTTTGAGCAGTCTGAAAAAAAGTCAGTTTTGAGTGATTCTGGGTTATGATTTTATGTACCTTCATCTTTCTTCCTCTAATATAAGGCATGGCTACATCTCAAAATGCCTGTGGGGCTCAATGTTCAGAAAGTATTTATCCAAGATGCCAGGAAAGTCTGGCTTTCTTCACAGAAACCGCTTGTTGTGTGAGTAACTAGCCCACCTCTAAGGAATTATAAATGTCCTGTCACATCGGTCTTATTGTGAGTCCTTCGGTGTTATGTTCTGGGTTCCACCCTGAGAATGTGTCCTGGGCACGCCTGAACCTCATATTTGGAGCTCCGAAATTTGTTAGTCCCCTCTTGCCACAGACAAGTCAACCTTCGTGATAAAACAACACTGCACTCCACCCCCGTTGCCCACAGTGATATTATCAGCGTTGAGAAGCATGTGATAGTGCTTGCTGCTTCAAGAAATGGCCTGGTTTCAAAACGTGCATCTCAGTTCTAGGTAGGCTTCCGTTGAATCTAACTGCTTTCATCGATGTGAGCCTGAAAGCATGTGGTGCCATCAGAGGTGGGGCAACGAGAGAGGGAGACACGGAGAACCAAACTAGGAAACGGGAAAAGGAAGAGTGGCGCTGCAGTCGGAAAACCTGATTTCATTCTCAGCTTCACTCTTTGTGCACTTTAGGGCAAGGCCCTAGCTCCTCCAGTCTCAGTTTTCTCATTTATCAAATAAGGTCAAAGTGCCTCCTTGCTGGGAGAGACTGTAAGGATGAAATGAAGTGGGTGCCTTAGCTGTGTTGTACCAGCTTAGCTTCTCTTATGGATTAGGGCTGGTGGTTCTACTGGTTGGAGTGTTAGATCTCAGATTTGCCTTTATCAAAGTGTATGTTTCATTAATTCAACAAATATTTGCAACCTATCTCTTATGTTCCACTGCTCTGCTTTATGTACTGCGGATAAAATAGTGATGAAAACACTTGAGGGATGTGCCTTGCACTGGAGGTGGTGGGTACATACATAAAGAGAGAGATTTATGTCTGACTGTGATGTATCTTCTGAAGAACCTAATACTGTGTATTGGGGGCCTATCCATTAGCTCAGGTGTTTAAGTGCCTGCTGAAACAAAGCAGTCAGGCTCAGGATGCTGTGGTTCTATCCCCTCATCCTCAAGTCAAACCAGACCTGCCCTGAAGGCATCCTGAGCACCCCCCCCCAATACAGTATATTAGGCACTGAAAATGATGCAGTTATACCAGGTAGGATGGCGGGGGAGAGGGATTTTCAAACAAAGTCGCAG